CAAAAAAATTCACCTGCTTATCCTTAAATGCTGCATATATATATCCTATATCTAAGCTCTTGATGTGTTATAAAGTGAATCGTTAGCTTGAATATGGTTGTAAGGATGATGCTCTGGTCTGATGATGTGCGTCATACGACGGACGAAAGCTTAGCACGTTTTCACCGGAATCGAAAGAGATTTCATCGGGATGGCGTCAACAAGAGTGCTCCAGTAAAGCCTATTAACAGCTGGTTATGAGGAATCCGACGTCGTTTTTCCAGTGAGGTTGACCTTCGAATCTTTTCACTAAACATTTCAACTCGAAATGGAAGTAAGCTTAACAATTATTAAATAAGGGATTCCTTGAAACCCAACTTTTTTCGCATGTTTTTTTGCCGAAATGGGTCAACATATGATCCTGCGATGTTTACGCATATTTGGGTATCTGCTATCGCGTATTTTATGCATGCAATATTCATTTCATGTGAAGTTTGATAACCTTAGCCATACTCGAGGTTATTCCAGCCTCAACTTGCTCAACGGTTATTCCAGTTCCCACCCTTCCTTTTTCTCCTTAAGCCTATCCAACAGATACAAATAGTTCCCACTCAATTTCCCACACTCGTTCCTCCCATTCAAGGGGTTGAATATTTTTTTCTATGTATTCAGACTCCCTAATCTCACCCTGTAGCCTCATAAATACTTCATTTCAGACCAGCCTATTTTGTCTCCTGTATCAGCCATGCTTTCAGCTAGTTGGGATACTTGGACCTGTATCACATTTCAGGAGATTTTGCGTTCATATAACCTCTTCCAGATGGGTCAGCAGGTATCCCCGCAACATGGACTTTACCACATGAGCATAGAACCCTGTAGCCTTTTTCGTATCTACCGGTGAGTAATGCCACTACCGTGATCGTCGGCAAGTAGAGCCATTCTTGGCACCAAATTACAAAGCCTTCATGTCAAGTGGCGCATTTCCCCTCCTCCCCTCCTCATTCCTGCGCAGACTAGCATACTTCGATGTCCCGATAAATCCAGGTTTTTCGTCCTTTTGAGAAGGTTCAATGAGGCATAAACACATTCACTGTTTGTCTTCATTTGTCGCTCTGCACTCCACAATATTCCTACGTCTTGGTGTTTGTCAGTAAGCTTTATTTCTGTGGAACCTGCCCTGAATGGATTGAAGAAAAGACTTGGTTTCTCTGGACTCCACATCTCTAATAGACCCTTTTCGTCTGAACCAGTTGACACTTTTCCCCACCCATCCTTTGTTAGTAAACTTTAAAGGGATTCGAACCATGAACGTGCAGATTAAGAGTCAAATACTTTGCCCCTTTGGTCATGCGACCCTATCCCATCCAGATGCACTAGGAGAACAAGTTTTATGGCAGACCAAATTCACAGCCCAGACCTACTTATTAATAACAAAAAGTGGGATCAGCTGACTTCTCCTACCAAATGAGAAGATTGTGTACGAGAAATTCGCTCTATAGATATCCGGCAATAATTATCATAACTACTGCAGCAAGAATTAATGACTACCACACCTAAGTCTGACTAATAGTATGTCGTCTTCACTTAGGGCCGCTCAAACATTTTGGAAAAGAGTTGGGAGATTGACGACCGGCAATGAGTGCGATTGTGCCATAATACACAAAGGTGACACAACTCGATTGTCTTGGACAACCATGGATAAATTTAGGCACAGAGCCGAGTGGTGAATGACTGAAATATGAGTGCGGAATGATACAAAAGGCTGAAGGGGCAGTCATAATCATCCGGACGACTGTTGGGCTATGCGAATCTCTTTACATTTTGTCTAAACTCAAAAGAGATTGGTGCAAACAAGACTACAGAGAGGTACAAAAAGGCAAGATTTTACATACGAGGTTGAGGTTAGAAATATTTATACAGCTCAGGTGGTAAGACATAATGGAAGGAGAGATAGCAAAACAATTGAACATAAATGGGTTGAATAGAAGTTGTTTGACCTTGTTTTCGCAACTCGGTCATGTTGGTAGGAAGACTTAAAGAAACGC